TCACAATATAACCAAAATTCTCTGTTTCTGCTCTAAATTTTATTCTATACCTTCAACTTTTAATGGAATATTGTTAGATTGAACAATTAGAATTAGGTTTTATATAAAATTTTAAATAAATTAAAATTGTAATATAACTATGATTGTTTAAATTCATGCATTTGTAAGCCATACAAATATAATTAAATTTATAATTCTAAATATTCGAAAAAGAACAATATGAGCTGTCAATAATCACAAAATTTTGAAGAATACACTATTGAAAAAGAATTTGACACTTACAACAAAGATCAAGGAAAAATTGATAAAATAAAAATTCATATCACATTCACCTCAGATTATCTACTCATCAAATGGAACAGTCTTGAGAGTGTAAATTTTATATACAACTGAAAATATAGATTAGAAGGCCCAAATGTCCTTGAGAAACCAGATTTATTTAATAATATAGATCAAATTCACAATCTTTCATGGCAAGGCTAGTATAGTGAAAACAAAAAAAAATGGTCAATGGAATGCGTTTTGGAATAAACAACTTTTAGAGAATGTTTGTGGATATTATAAAGAGGATTTGAAGCAAGGATTATGGAAAGATCTATTCAAAAACTATTAGAGGTAAAATATTACATTATGAATAGTAAAGCATAAATTTTTGAGATTGGAGAATATTTAAATGACTTTAGAATTGGAAGATGGAATTGTATTTGTTAATATAGGAAAATGTATATAATATAACAATAGTTTAGTGGTGGTGGGATTTACAATAAAGAAGGTTGGAAGCAAGGCAAATGGATTGAACCAGATGAAAGAATTTATGATATTAAAAAAGTCAGTTATAATGGTGAATATAATATGAATAATATGAAAGTAGGTAGGTGGGATATTATGTATTGTAAGTATGATGAGAAGGAATATAAACAAATGTAAATATTATATAATTTATAAGAATATTTAAATCTACAAATGTTTATAGTGCTGGAGGATCATATGATTAAGAAGGAAATTAGAGAAAGGTTGGAAAGTGGGTAGAATTAGATGCAGGGTTTTATTGTTTTCAATATAATTCCAAATAAGTCACTTATAATGGTGAATATAACATGAATAATATGAAGGTAGGTAGATGGGATATTATGTATTGTGATAGAGGTGGAAATGGAAAATATAAATAAATGTAAATATTAGAATTGATGAGAATATTTAAATACAAATATATATAGTGGTGGTGAATCATATGATTCAGAAGGAAATTAGTATGATTAAGAAGGAAATTAGAAAAAGATTGGAAAGTGGGTAGAATTGGATGAAGGGTTTGAATTATTTGCTTAATTCATTTATATTGGCGAATATAATATTAAAGGTTAAAAAATGGGCATTTGGGTAGAAGTGGATATAAAGGAGAATGAAAAAATAGGAGAATAGAGATATGATGATTGATAGATTAAACAATTGATATATAAATCAAAATACATTCAACATTATTTTTACAATTATTATTGTTTAATTTTATAAGAACTTTGATTTCTAATACTATATAAATTATTATTACTTCTAATAGTCGTAATGTATATGCTTGGTTTGTTATATGTAAAGTAAAATTGTATAAAAGCAATCTCCAAAACCTGTGTGGCGTGATTGGTGAAGACATTTGTTGAAAATAACCATATGGTTTTTCCATCCTATTACCTTGTTATAGAGGTATTAATATGATATTTTTTAAATGGTTGAATATTTGTGGGGTTTAATATTATTTGATTTTTAATCAAAAAAGCTTTATGAATTTTTAAACAAATTAAAGAGAAAATTATAAAAAATCATTTTAGGGTCAAA